TTTTTTTTTTTTTTTGTCTTAAGTGCAACTAGAATTCACATTTTTTGTTTGGATTTTTCTGAAGTTTTTCTGAATGCATTATCTCATGGGATTACTGTCACCAAGAGCTGGCATCTAGACAAACCAGGAGAATTTATTCAGAGGAAAAATTGTTACCAGTAGTTAATCACTGCAGAAACCATGGCAAAATATCTTTTTTTTTTTTTATTGTGTACTGACCACAACAGTGGCATATTCATTTTATATTGTAAGACTGATATGGGTGTTGTTAGCAACGTCATTTTTGAGTAACTAATCCTATTTCAGTCAAAGCATTTGTCGTCTTAGGAGATGGGCGAGGATGGGGAACACAACCTCTGAACTGCATAAAGACATGCAGTATTTGTGATCTGGTGCTTTTTACAAGTAGGTGCGTGCTGAGTCTCGACTGGATTTCGTTTACCCAGTTCTGCACAAGTGCCAGATCTCAACATCAGTGCTGCTGCTGACAAGGAGGTCCCGTCCAGCACTGGCAATCTGCCTGACCCTCCTCACAGTGAAGATAAGTTTTGCCATTTTCCTCTTTCGGGTGGTKGTTTCTGTGTAGTGTTTGTGGGAAGGATGTTCACGTGCACCCAATAATTCTGCAGATGGAGGTCACATGAACACACAATACTCTGGGCAGTAGATGCTGTTGACCAAATCATTCGCKTCAGCAATAGACATAACATAGATCCAAGAGGAACACATTCCAGGAGGAATGACCATCTGATAGGATTGCATGGATGGACCTTCTGAAGCCATGGAAGAGCTTGGTTTTAATCTACACAGGGTTTTTGTTTTGTTTGTTTTTTTTTTTGTTTTGTTTGTTTGTTTTTTGATAGAATAAAGAGGAAAGGATATAGAGAGACCAAAGAGCAGTAATTTACGGGAATGAGTTATATATATACACACACACTCATATATTTCATAAATATATATAAAAATATATATCTATGAAAAAATATATATCTATATATCTCAAGGACTTCAGGAGTAACAACAGAGAAGAAAAAATGGACTTAATCATAGAGATGTCGCTGAGGATGTAACTGGGTGACACGAGTAGTAAGGATAGGGACTGAGGACAGCAGAGAGAAAATACTTTAAGAATATATACTCTGTGAGGAGAGATTATAAAGACTAAGAAAAAAAAATCAAAGGCATAATTCCCCTGAAGCCAGGATTTTCTACTTTGTGTATTGTGACTAGAAAGAAGAGATAATTGAATTGCAGTATTTAATGTTAAAAAGATCCTACCGAAATAATCCCATCTCCATTTTTATTTATTCTAAAAATAAAATAGGAGAGGAACAYGTTTTAGACAGTATATTTTAAAGAATTCTGCCAAGCAGCTTTAGGAGGGTTTGGCTTAAGCATTAAAGCTACTAAGGACAGTGCATCCATTTAGGTTAAGACCTTTTCTGGCATCATCTTGCTGAATTTCTTTTGCCATATCAATTTACATTCCTTGTGGGGATCCCCAGCTCAGGAAACATTTCATATCTAAAAGGCTGGGTGGGAGGTAGAAGGAAAAGATATATAGTGTGCACRGTGTCATAAGCAGCCTTCAACAGCAAAGCTACAGAAATACCTCTGTGTGTGTGTGTGTGTTTTTTTTTTTTAAAAACTCCTGAATAAGTTGAGAGCTTTAGAATTTTCCCTGCTGTTAGCTCAAGTATTACAGTTATGTCCCAGAAAGCCTTAAAGAAAGATAAAGACCAAAGATTTCAAAATGAAATGCTAGAAATGCCTTTTGTGATCATCTGTTGGCCGAAGAAGTTTGTGTCATGAGAACCTTTGAGGTCTGGGTGCAACTGCATTTTTTGGCAACAGGACTAAAAATGTACAGAGAGCAAAAATGAGTTGGCATGTGCTCATCTAGTTGATTCACTAATAGGCAAGAAAAGTCACATAAACAGGCAAAAACTTGTAGTTAACCTTAATATATTCTGGAGGTACTTATGCTGCTTTCTAAGGAGATTCAGGTTACATTTAACAGCAGTCCTTCATCTCCTTAAGATCTATCTGTGGCTCCTATCAGTTAAGAGTTTCAGTAKATCAGTTAACAGTTGCAATAAGGAGATCAGTTAACAATTGCAAAATATTTGCCATCTTCCCTTCCCCCAGAACATCCTGCTTTATTTTCATGTCCAAACTACTGAGATACTTTGCCAACCCTAAGCTCAATAGTAGAAAAAGATGTTTGATCCCTTTGTCACTTGCTCCTCGGTCATTTACCTTCGCTGTTTTCTAATAAGATGAAAAATTTCAAGTTTTAAAATTCATATATTAGAGAATATGGCTGGTGTTGTTTTCTTCTAAGTTTTCTAGCTTGGAGTACAAAAACAGTCCCGTGTGAGAGCTATTTAGCACAAAGATGACTACAAACAGAAAATGAAGCAAACTGTTCTTGTCCAACTAATTATGCCAGCTCATTTGGATAAAAATAGACACTTCTCCTCACAGGGTCAGAAGCTCAATTTTACATTCAGTGGGAGCTGCAGATGCTGAGCATCAGAGATTGTTGCCTAAAAACAGTTTATTTTTTCTTGGAATTGCCGAAGATTTTGGGTCTTAAGCTGAGCTGACATCGTTTGGTGGCTTGTAGTTTTTCCAGGGTCACGGCAGTGTGTCTGGCTGATTGGAGGTTGAGATACTTGCAGCCAAGTTTCAGCCCAGAAAAGATGTTAAAGACCAAATTGCATTGTAGTCCCCTGAGAATTTTTTTTTTTTTTTTTTTTTTTTGTAATTTTGTAGAATTGATATTTCTAGGATTTTAGTCAGGGGAATCTCAGTTGGGTCTCTGATTATTTCCTTTTCCCAAACAAAAGATCAAAGTAAAGGAGGCAGAAATTCACATTGAAGTTTTAGAATACACCGGTAACAGTATTTCATTGTTGCTGTGGGTTTGTGTTTGTGCATGATGATAAAACAGCCAGATAGATTGAAAAAAATTGCTAGCAGGGTTCTCGGAAAGGAAGTTTCCTTGGTGCAGGTAGTTTTTCTTACTTAAAAGCTGGTTGTACTTGATGTGTATGTGTGCGTTGGCGTTAGGCCGAGGATGCAGTCTCRGACACTGGCACTAACAAGGGCTTGAAACCAGGCTCTAAGGACCAGCCTAGGTGCAGGGGTCTTTGCTGGCCATGGCCTGCCAGGGGTAGGAGGCATCTCCGCTAAGGTTGGGCCTCCCCAGGTCAGATCTCTGACTTGGAGCTCCTTCTCTGTGCCCTRTGGCAAAAAGATGGGCACTGTTCAGTTCATCCACCCAATTGACCTGACCTGCTTCACAGGCCTAATTTGAGATGAAGTGCCCTCTAGAAACACCTCCTGCCCTGTCTGCTGCTTTACATGTAGCCAACTACAATGTGAAATTCCAAAGTTGGGTGTAACGATCACATCCCAACTGTGTAAGGGATTCCTTAAGCTAGACACTGCCTATGGACCATCATATTTCAGAGCCATCAGTAGATATGTCGGTGATACTTGTTAAAATCTGTTTTTTTTTTGCCTGTTCTGAGGTTCTCCCCAGTAAGTCTCCAGTTTCATTATGCTTGCAAACAAAGCAAGCAAATAAATTTGCTTTTGTTTCTTTTTGAAGTACCAGCCAGTGCAATTTCAATTTATAGAACATCTAATCTTGAATGAATCCTTGTCTGCTCCGGACAGATAAAACCCCAGGAAAATACCAGGGATTGGTTGTTGATGAGATACATTAGCAGAAGCCATTGAAAAAAGAAAACAAAAAAGAAACCTAAACACACCCATCATCTGAGAYTCGAGGAGCCATGTAGTGACTTTAGCCTATCCTCAGCTTCCCCTTTTGCTAAATGTCATGAAGTAGGTGGAAAAAATCTTACGAGGGAGTTGTTGAAGGCTTGAACAACCCGTTGAATTCCCTGGGGTGGAAATCAGTGGCCTTCTGGCATGTGCAGCACGAGGGGACGCCCCCAACTCAAAAAGGAAGAGAAGGGAGAGTCTACAAAAATAGTCTGTTTAGAGAGGGTTGTTTCCTTGTTYGTGAAATGGCTGCAAATATCTTTTGATTTCCATAAGCTATTTGGCAGATACATTCTTGAATTAATCCAGGTGGATTATTCACGAACATCTTTGCTATGTTGTTTTGAGGTGATTGGCCAAGTTAGTCACAAGATGTCCTTTCTCTGGCGTAGTTAGAGTGTGCGAGTGCTTAAAACATGAATCTTGTGTATGCAATTTGAAATTCATTTTCCATGAATACTCCTGTGTACGATTTTGAAATAAGCTTTTTTCGTGGTTTTTATGCCAGTAAAAGTCAAATTGCTTTAATGTTGGCAGAAAACAAATGCGAAAAGGGTTTAAATAAATTCATCTATCATGTAAAATGACTATTTGTGGATATGTGCTTAAGCATTATTAGCCCAGCTTTACTTCATCCTGGCCGCTGAATCTCGTCTCAGCAATGCACAATGAACGGACATTTAGTTTTGATCAGATCAGTGCTTTATTACAAAAGAAATGAGGATAAGATCTAGATTCTTGATAAGTCCCATACGTACTTGTGCTGTTAATCTTGTATGGAGGATCCCGTGCCTATAGATGGACAGGCTGATGATGAGCTGGTGTTTGCGTGGCAYGGAAGAGCAGGGAAGGGATCCCTTCCCCGAAAGGGAAATGAAAGAGAAATGAAAGCTTGGATATTTAAATCTACATGGAAAATAAAGTAAATAATATATACACATCTTCACTGATTCTCGGTTCCCCCCGAAGCTAACAAAGTTTTGAACAACCTAAATGCAGGATCGTCTCTAGGCTCTTGGCCTTGCTGACTGATACATGCTGAAGGGAAGGGTCTGAATCTTTTGGGTTGCTGTGGGAACTACTTCCCACTTCATTCTTACTAACTCTGTCAAATCCCCAAACCAGCACTGGAGAGAATTCAGATTAAGGTATGTTTATTAATTCGAGTTTTGTTTAATCATGTGTGTGTGTGTGTGTGTGTATATTCGGTCTTGAACAAATGAGCGCATCAAGTAGATAGAAGACAGGGATATAAAGGTAAGTAGGGGCACTTGCAAGCCCATTTCTTGCACGAACTCGTTCATCTGTTTTCCATCAGGAAGCACGGGATTGCAACAGCCACATTTGGTGAGCAGGCAGGAACACAGGTAATCTGAACAGTTTTGAAAATTCATTCCTAGTTCTTTCAGGGCTAGGTGATGGCCCAGGCCCCTAAAGCGAACAAAAKGTGGCCAGGAGAGACAAAAGGCAAGAGGATTTAGACAAAGCACTCGTTGGTATCAAATCTCCTGTCTAGATGAGTAATGTGTTGTGTGCGGTCCCTGGGAATTGCTAAAGGCAAATTAGAGATTCTGGTTTATCTAAGATGTATACAGAACAGGTTGTTTGTTAAAACATCTGATTTATAAAGTCTTTAAAATGTTGCGAAGAAAAACAAGGCCATTTAGGCTAGAAAGAGTGTGCTAAGAAGCAAAAACTGGGGGAAGAGGGAGAAGGAGAAAGSCCATGAGTGACTGTGAGAGCCAAGTTAAGTAATGGAAGAACCAAGAACCGTGTTGGACACAGGAAGCAACAGAGACTCMAAAACACCTGCGGGGAGGCATCAATGAGCAGAGGAGATGGGCATGGAAACGTGTCTGAGGACTAAGCTTGGAGGTGCAACSCAAAATGTGGTGAGTGTAGCCTTCCCTCCTCTAACGAGGCCTCAGGCATAGCTAGAAAAGTTCACTGCAGCCATCACATCTGTGTTGTTTAGTTATTCTCCTCTYCTATTGAGGTATTTTTGAGTTTTGAATTGAGAATGTAATTTTCTCCTATAATAGAATAAACTATGTTTTTCATCCTCAGTATTTTTATTATTTCAGGTGACACTTGGCTAAAGCTGTCTCAGTAGCACTCAGCCACATGTGTTTCCCTGGAAGCCCTGGAGAAGGTGACGGTTGGAGACCCCAGGCAGGAGCTGTGCTTTTTCCTGCAGAGCCAGAGCAGTCTGAGGGCTGATGTCCCAACCATCCCTCTMTCCCAGAGCTGGGACCAGCCACACTTCCAGGTATCTTAATTTTTTTGTAAGGGAAGAGCTTGGGTAGTTGGCAGTTTTGGGGTATTTGACTGCAGTAGAAATCTGTGCTACATCCATGGTCCTCTTTGAAGCATATGTTGCCTCAGCTTCTTTTCACAGTAAATGTTGCATGGCACCACGTTAATGTTAAAATTCTATGTGAAGCCCCTCCAGAGAAGAAGAGTCAACAAACTGGGGAGTAAAACTCAGGACATCTGCATTAAACTCCAACTTTTGCCACAGCTCTGCTTTCTGGGAAGGCTGCTGATGTTTTTTTTGTATAGGAAACCTTAGATAAATGTGGTGTCCTGCTAGAAACCTGTCCCAAAATCCTGATATTTTGCAGAACCTCAAGACAAGAAGCAATGCAATCTAGTTCCTTCACCTCCTCCCATCTCTGCATTGCTGCCACACTGGGAAAAGCAAGCTACTACTGTGCCTTTATTCACTTTATCCAGGACTAATATTAAATGCGCCATCGTTTTTCCAGGCGCGAGGAGACGGTGAGAGGTGCCAATCCTCCTCACTTCAACTGATTCCCAGTTTCCTTCTCCACAAGCCCTGCCAGACCTGTGTGACCAAGTTAAAAAGAAGCAAAAAAAATAATAAAAAAAGGGAAGCCAAAGTCGTGTCCCTCCGACCGGACACCTGCCTGCTGGAGCCGGAGCCGGATGGCCGAGGGGTGAAGCTGACTTGCCCAAGGAGCGCGGGCCATGCCTGGCCTCGTAAGTATAAAATACATGGTTCCTAGGGAGACCAAGCTGGCTTTGAATGTCACAAAAGTCCCTCMTATGCCTTTTAACAGGGGAGGACTGGGCCAGCGGCTCTTTTCTGCAAAGGGTTTTGACAAGGCAGCAGCAGATTTCCAGTCCCCGGCGCGGAATAAATTGAGGCCGCTGCTTTTTTAGCCCTGCCATGTTTCCGGCTCGCACAATGTGTGTGGCTTGTCCCGGTCCCACGGATTTGTCCCCACCGCAGAGCTTCAATAAAGGYCGGGCTGCAGCCCGTTCGCCCTGGGGAATCCGTAATAAGTGTCGCTTGCCGGGGAGCYGGTCACCCCCGGAAGCCTTTGATAGGGCCGAGTGCAATCCTCAAAGGCTCCGTGAATCCCCCCGTTTGGTTCACAGGGACTAGGAATGAACTGGGGTTGGCTTGGAAGTTCAAGCTCAATGAACTGAGACCTTGAAGAACAATTCCTAGCGCTGCCGCCTCCTTCCTAAGAAGCCCCCTGAAGCCCGTCTTCCTCGGAACCCCCCCACCAGCTCTTCTGCCTCCCGCTCTTAATACGTTCAACCCGTTTTGCTGACAAAAGAGCAATTACCACCTTAGGGAGACCACTCACAAAGAGAGTGGGGATGACCCCCAAAGAGAGATTTATGCCACTCAACACATGGCCAGTCACCGACAAAGCCGGCCCCGTTCCCATTTGATCACAGAAGAGCCTCCCAGACTGGCACGCTTGACCAAAAACTGGCCGGGTGACTCATGCGTCTGGCGGCTCTGTGATTCATGAGCCTCCAGGAGGAAGGGAGGGAGGAGGGAGGAGAATTCTTTTCAGATCTCAAGTTAAATGCGAGAGCAACACATTCCCAAAAAAAGCAGACACTTGACTGTGTCCAATTGGTGTGTGAATACCACCACAAAGCCAGGGCCGCGATGCACTGTGAGCATCCAGGGGCTCGCCGAGGGGACCTYGCCAAAACTCAGGATAGAGGCACTGTCTTCTTCCACGTTTTCTCAGTATGTCACATCCTCTGTGGCCATGGGACATCCCTGTGTCTCACCAGTCACAGAATCRCAGAATGTTTGAGGTTGGAAGACACCTTTAGAGATCATCTAGTCCAACCCCCCCTGCTCGAGCAGGGATGTCTAGAGCATGTGGCACAGGGTGACAGTCAGATGTGCTTTGGATCAGGTGCTGAGAGGGGTTGATCTGCAAACCCTCAGCTCACTTGGACCAGATGAAATTCAGGCTTGTGCTCTGAGCTAACACTCCTGCCTCCCTCTGTTATCCATGGAAAAAGCAGGTTGGTGGCCATCCTGGACAGGTGCTTGCAGGAGGTGGCATGAGCCTGTGTTTGGAAGTAGCCACCTCTCCCTATGCGCTTTACAGAGCCACTTGACCACGCACCAGCCCTGAGATGACTGAGGTGACACGAGACACGTCCAGCTCGGGGTGTCCCGGAGCCGCCTCTCCCTCCGCATCCAAGCGGTTGCGCCGGTGACACCTCCCTCCTCTCGGGAATCAGCCCTTGCCATGGGCTGTGTCACTTACTGCTGCAGACATATGGGTCAAAATGCGAAATTATTTAGCAGCCCTTGCCAGATGGATTTTAAAACAATTAGCAAGTGCTAAAAATAGGCAGCTCGCTYGCTCTCGGGGGGGTTGCCAAAAAATGTCTGTTTGCTGCTCGCGTGCCAGCAATTTATGCTGAGGGTGCAGCCGAGCCCTCCTGCTCGCTTCAGTCATCGGAGGCTTTCACATTATCTGGGCCTCGGGCTGTATTTTTCTCTAAATGCACTTAGGTTGCAGTGCACCAGGGTAAACGTGTTGTAAGCAGGGGATTTTTCGTGCACGAGAAAGCACCGTCGGGAAGGGGATAAAACTTTCTGGCATTATCCTCACAGTGCTGGTCTTACTGTTGTGATTTGGGGTTAGAGGCCCCCTGCTTTAGCACTCTGCCTCTAGCCCTTCCTTTCTTTGCTSTGGCAGTGCAGAGGATACCAATAGGTAGATATATCTGTTCTAAATGTTATGTATTAGTTATAAATACTGGTGTGGGTTAATTTGTGGGGAGGAAAGTGCGTATATGGCTGTTTCGGGCAAAAGYGAAGAATTCTCAGAACTGAAGGCTGTGACCTGGGGTCAGAAATACCTTGAGGCCACATTTTGGTGGTGAGGTCTTTCCACCCAAAGGGTTTTGCTGGTTGCTTCTGTGATTCACGTATATAAGAAGCTTTGCAGTACGTATCTCAGTGCTAAGCAAAGCTCATGGCCCCGTGAGGATGGGGCAAGAGCCTCCACTGGCCGCCRGTCAGGACTCTGCAGTCAGAGCCTGGCTTGCAGGTGAGACTTGGCCACTGCTGGGTTATTTATTYATCCTGGTGGCACAGGATGCGCTTTGTCCAGACTCAAAGGGAGCATTTGTAGCCATCCACAAGAGCAGATACTTTGCATTTAGCCACAGGTTTATGAGCCCTCCGCTGGCAGTCCRGCCTCATACGTAGTTTGGTGCTGCTTAAAGCACTCTGCAAACCCCAGGGAATAGTGCAGATGATGGAGCCCGTTTCACTGCATTTCTGTTTCTAAAAAATATTGCACTAGGCAAAGGAGTTGGACCTGAATGAAAGTGGTGGATCTAATTTTAGACGGTACCTATGAATGAAACTTAAAACGAACTGTTCAGGAAATGCCTTCTTCTATGCCAGTGCCAGGCAGAGTATGTGATTTAATGCTAAATTAACCAGTGCCTATGAACAGGTTACTGCAAGAATATTTTTTTCCAGCTTTAAACTAAGTTATTTGGGGGGAAAAAAAAGAAAACTTAATTTCTACATATATGCCCATATCCTTTGGCAAAAACTGYGGGTCTTTCGCCCTTTCTATATGGTCCTTTTTGATGTATGTTGTGGCATCACGCTGAAGAGTTGCTTGTTTTGATCTGGTGTCTGGGCATTGCCAGAAGGGGGTTGCAAATATGAGAGGATTTTGTCCAAATTGAAAGTCTGTCCCTGAGCTCTCATTCAAGAAGTCAAATCTCATCCAGATCAGTGTTTCAAGATACTGTCCAAATTGCAGGTTTGCAGGTATTACCAGCCAGCTGCTCCTCTCTAGCCCTGAGCAAGGCTTGCAGCCAGTAGCGATGCATGCTTTAATTAGTAAAACTGCAGAAATACTTGGTAATGCTTTTTGGGTTTTATCCAAATAATCTTGGGTCAAATCCGTCGTTAGTTAAGCAAATCTCCTGCAATCTTGTATGTTTTGAGGATTTCAGGTTTCAGCATGTTTTGGGGAGTTCTTGGTCAGATACAGCCATGAACCTCGTGCCAGGGCTGCCCTTGGCTCAGACTGGTGCTCTCAGACCAAATCAAGCAAAGCAGGGCTGTCTGTGCAGTGGGTTGCCTAAGGACTTCCAGTACAGATCCCCAGGAGAATAATTGAAAGCAATATACCCGAAACTGGGCAAATGTCAGTTGGACAGAATGACACAAAGGCTGTAAAGGATTCATAGGCCAGGGTATCTTTCGCTAGGAGGACAGACTATTTGTCTGTGTGGGTGTAAAGTGGCTCTGTCCGTCAGAACTTGGTGACCACAGAACTTGGTTCTTCTCATGACGTCAGGGAGAGGCCAGAGGAAACACCAAGGAGCTGCTTGACTCAGTTTGAGCAGCTTCCCAGCTACCCTCCATTTATGATCACTCGTCCACGTCACCCAGATGTACAGCTACAACTGCAGCGTATTTGCACATCCCATGAAAACTGACTGCTCCAAATTAGCAGGGATTCCCTCCCGTTTCATTTTTCATTCTCTCTGACCTATGAGCAAAGTCTGTTAATCACTGAATCTGGCTTCCATAATAGCACCAAAGCTGTTCAGTGCTAGAGAATGAGATCTGTGCGTCCAAGACAAATGAAAATGCTGTAGTTTTGACATTTACTGACAACCAGCAATTTGTACCCATATGCAAATTCACTCACGCACCTTATCTTGACTCTCCTGTTTCCGAGAGCCATATGCACTTCTTTATCACACCTGCTGTCTACAACGCTCGTTTTACAACTCAACACTTTGAAGGAAGCCAAGCTTGTGCAGACTGGCAATTCCCCACAKCTTCAGGTCAAGACTAACTCACATATTTTTGCCCATAGATTTATCTTTG